GAGATTCGATAACATACAAACCGCAAACTTTTTATTATATTTTATTCGTCTAGATTAAACCTAACGTTTCTATGGCATCGGGTAAATCCATTCACTGTGTCCAAAATAACCGGTAAATAGAAGTATTTAAACTGATAATCAGTAGAACTGCTCAAACTTCCAAAATATATCCTTTCATCGATCTTTGTTTGATGGGACCAAATTAATACCAACTGAAATTTATCTGTATGTACAATGCTATAATTTCCAATATTCCGTCCACCTGTCCGTCCTCCCACCCTCTAAAATAGCTATACATTGACCGATCGAAACCAAATTTTGGGGAAAACAGTACAAAGTACAGTTGATTTTACTAGTTTTGATTTTACTTGTTGGTTTTCCTAGGCTGCATTAAAGTATTTTTCCAAAGAAATCAGCTTATTCAAATTTCATCGATTGGTTTGCGAAGAGTTTGTAAATCTCGACAAAACTGTTAGCGATAACTTTAACAATACTAAATACTGTGAAGATTTCAACAGACGTCAGTATGTTGCAAAAACATTGTACAGAGTGGCCAGTAAAAAAAAAAAGAAAAAGAAAAAAAAAAGGCAAATTTATTCATTGAGAAAAATATAGCAGCTCTAATTGGTTAATCTAAAAGCCCAGATCTGAATGTAATGGATTACTGTATCTGGAATGTACTCTTAACTCATTTGCAAAACCGTCGTCGTAACATCGTCGATATTGATTTGTTGAAGTAGAAATTAACTGAAGCTTGGAATGAAATTCCCCTTGATACTATCCGTAAAGCTACTGGTTACCACGCTTATCACTTTGTGTTGAACATTCAGGCAAACATTTCGAACATCTACGATGATTATTCAGTTTGTGCATGAATCATGATAAGTAAATAAATTTCTTTCTGAATTTACTGCATTTTTACTGGGCACCCTGCAGTATATATAAACTTCTAGAGTGTACACTCTTAAATTTAATTTGTTCTTAATTTGTTTAATTTCTTAATTATTTAAGAGTCTTAATTAAAACTCTTTTCTTTGTTTCTAACGAGATTTCTTGTTTCTTATTACTTTGCTAACAGGTCAGTACATTTTTCTTTGTTCCTAACGTGATTTTCTTGTCTTAATACTTTGCTTAGCGTTTGGAAGACATCTTATTACATAACAGGTCAATACTCTTTTCTTTGTTTCTAACGAGATTTTCTTGTTTCTTAATACTTTGCTTAGCGTTTGGAAGACATCTTAAACATAACAGGTCAATACTCTTTTTTTGTTTCTAACGTATTTTCTTGTGTCTTAATACTTTGCTTTTTGAAGACATCTTATTGCATAACAGGTCTGAATTTACTTTTTTTACTGGGCACCCTGCAGTATAAATAAACTTCTAGGGTGTACACTCTTAATTTCCCTTCTTCTCTAATTAGTATGCACTGTGCGTAGTCGGTCATATGACTCTTAAAGGACAGACGTTTTATAATATTCGCTAGCTTTCCTTTTCAACTCTTTTGGACTCACAATTCTTTAGGTGAAGTCCCTTTTGGATCAATCAACCAAGGCTTTTATCCGCTGGGCCATGACTTGACCCAAAGAGTTATGAGTTTAATGCTGGGTACAGCAGAGAGAACAAAAACTTGGAGAATTGAGTTATCAAGGGGAGTTAACTAAAACTGAGATATCCAAAGGCATGGCATGTGGAATTAGAACAATCTACTCCCTGGAATTAAATAAAGGGTTCGAATCGAAATTCCAACAAATATTACCTGAAGTCCGAAACGTCGTGAATATGGCAATAAAGATGAGGGCAAGAGTTCGAACAATGTAAATAGTGTAAATCTTATGTAAGTTATATGCAAACAAAATGTCGGAAATACAGTAAATTTGAGGTTATAAAAAACGCAACAAATTACACAGCACTTATTTCAAATAACTGCGCTACTTAACATAAATGTAAAAAAAAACTTAGTTGGCAATAATATAAGAGACAGATATCTATAAAAAGGCTCTGTTAATTATTTACGGTTAATTTGTTTAAATAAGGCACTGCCTATTGTTTGCATCACGTGGCAATAATTGTAAGTAAAAAGATACACTAAAATAAGTAACCAAGTAATCATTTTAAGTTCTCTGAATATCGGTGCCTTAGAAAAAAATGAAATACAAAATGGAGGAATGAAAATAATGAAACTCACCCAAACCGCAATCACATGTGCGTATACAGGGTGGTCAAGAAGTAATCGAGTAATTAATGTTTGTTTGCCACGTGACTAAATCCTGATCCCTTATAATTTGGTTGGACATTGAAGAGAAATTGATCCCCTAATTTCATTTTTGAGATTTTTTTCTCCAGGGCATTCTGAATAATTCACTTCACTCTAAAAGTCTCGAACCATTCAACAATTTACGCTAAACATATTTAATGCTTGCGTAAAGATTAAAAATGACTTTTGTAAGAAAATACGTTACTTTGAAAAGTCATTTTAAATTTTCTGTATATTTTGAATGCAACATAATAAATTAATTCCTTCTGAACAGGCTATGTGCGCTATGGCAATTTCTGCAGGGATTTCTAACAAAGTCATTTATAGGTGTGGACTTTATTCCCTAAGAGTTTACGACAGAAGCAGATTGTCGTATTAATCTTGGTCGATTCTGTGTTTAGATTCAATCCAGTAGTGTAGCTAAAGGAGCTGACACTTTTATGTGGGCGGCACTTTAAGATCTGCTGTAGAAATCTGTATAGGTTTTATTGAGAAAAAAACGTGGTTTCAATGTCGGTTGAAAGATCATTTCGATTTCGAATAACTTATAACTATGGGATATGTACTTAAGTTAAGTACTTATTGTTATCTTGGCCGAACAATAAACATTATCCAATGATGGATTCAGGGCTGTTTTTATCATCGTTTGCAATGTGAAAATTGTGAACGGACCAAGGGTGCGTTCTTTTAATGTCGCAGCACCGCTGTGTCTGAGACGTACAACTTGGTTGTTATCATATAAATTTCACTTACTTTCCTCGACAGAAGTTCATTTCAGGACATATGCTACTCTCTTTTAAGCCTGTTAATAGTAATACACATACACACACACATTGTTTATACGTTATTTTTATAGATACAAATATTTAAGTAAATGCTCTGTTTATAATAAACCTTTTTAACAACAATTACGGGTTTGAATGTTCGGGAAATTTCATAGAAAATATGTGTCCTCCAACAGGAATCAAACCTGCATCCTACACGGAACCATCATATAGCCTGAAACGCATTACCATTTAGTTACAGAGGGAGCGTCTGGTATAGCACGTTAGGCTATATGATGGTTCCGTGTAGAATACAGGTTCGATTCCTGTCGAAGGACACATATTTTCTGTGAAATTTCTCGGACATTCAGACCGGTAAATGTTAATACTGTTCATTGTAAACAGTCCATCTACTTAAATATTTGTATCTATAAAAATAACGTATAAACAATAAAGATATTAAAATAATTGTTGAACTTAGTTCAATTCATAATTATATATATATATATATATATATATATATATATATATATATATATATATATATATATATGTATGTGTGTGTGTGTGTGTGTGTGTGTGTGTGTGTGTGTGTGTGTGCAGGTATGTAGAAAAATAGGAAAGAACACGGTAGGTAAATAATGCAGGGTTCTTTAGTATTTTTGTTTTTATTTTAAAAAAAACTGTGCTCTATACAGAAGTAGAGCTTAGCTTATAATTATTTAAAAAAAATATGATTCCTTCGCTACATAAAAGTTCTCATGTTTCAGAAACGAGAGCCGAAACCATCAATATGATTATTAAAATTAAATTGAATTAAAGTAACAAGTCCTGTTTCATCCTTAAGCAAAAATTAACAGGGTTTGTTACTTTAATTCAATTTAATTTTAATAATTATATTGATGGTTTCGGCTCTCGTTTTTGAAACATGAGAACTCTTATATAGCGAACGAATCATATTTTTTAAAAAATAATTATATATATATATATATATATATATTAGTGGGTCAATGCTGTTATATGTTAGTGGGTCAATGTGAAGTATGCTGTATTTTTTATGAAGGGTCGGGTGTTAGGAGTCGGTAAAATCAAGGGACACCCCGGACGGCACTCACTCTGCCCCAGGTAAAGCCGACTGACATTTACCGACTGCCCTATGAAAGTAGGATGTGACACAATTTCGTTTTTAATGTGGAGATCCCATACGCGTAAATATGATCCAAGAACAAAAAATTGACTGCACAGTCCCCGCGGTCACTCACACGTTGGCACTGGGAACTACCAACCCACTTTAGTGCAATGATGGAGATCTTTCTGCAGGACTGGAATCCCCGAAACGAAATTACCAAATAAACTTAAGTGAAAGTGGGAACAGATACTACACTTTGATCCGATGTTTACTCGATAGACGGTGGCGGGAAACGGGGTCATTTTAATGTGGAGGTGCCCATAGGCGTATCTATGAGCCAAGGCTAAATATTGCCTAGTCGCCGCAACCACTGTCACGTTGGCGTTAGTATCAACCAACCCTTCCTATTTAGTGCAATGATGGAGGTGCTACCACAGGATTCGAATCCCCAGAACTCGGCATCCTTTAAAGCATTTACCATGAACTGTTCGAAGACAAAAACACGGCAGTAAAACATATTTTGTTTTGATCTCAGCCTGAAAGTCAGAGAAAGGCGGTATAAATCATGTAAATTCATCAACATCTGCAAAATTAATGCTGCTATTCAAATAATAATGCAGCTGTGAATAGAACTTGGCCGACAACGAAATAGACTTAAAAATGGCAACATTTGACTTCGCATTCACTTCAGCATCATTTAGCAACAAAATAAATGCAATAAGCTAAATGTCGCTATAACATTGTAAATAGCCTATTTATGAGCTAGTCTACTTTCGAGTCTAGAATAACGCTAGATCAACAATCTGAACCCCAGTGGGAGATTGACGTGAAATATTTTTCCATACTTTTTGAATTAATAGTTCATTTGTGTACTTGCAAAACTTTTAGTGGTCACATAGTAAATCAACATTATGTGTTTTGGAGTTAAAAAAGGAAAAGGAAAAAAGGAAGTAACGAATATGGAAAATATCTGAAAACGAATGGAAAATAAAAGAAGGAAAAGTAAAAAAGAAATTAAAAAAGAAAAGGAAAGTAAAAAAAGAAAAAGGAAAAGAAAAAAAGAAAAAGTGCACGCATGCAAACTATTAAAGAAAGAAAGAAAAGATGCTTGAAACTGAAGAAGAGAGACGATGAAAGAAAGTTAAAGAACACCAAACAAACAAGTATGTAAATAAATAATAAATAAAAAAGTAAATAAAATGAGAAAAGAATAAAAAATGAACACGGAAGATACTTGTAAACAAATAGAAAATAAAAAAGAGAAAAAAATAAAGGGAAACGAAAAAAAGAAAAGAAAAGAAAAGAAGAAAAACAAAAAACAACAAGAAAAGAAAAAGAAAGAAAGAAAACCAGTGCAAGCAAACTTAGAAAGAAAGAAAGAAAAGAAAGAAAGAAAAGAAAGAAAGAAAAGAAAGAAAAGAAAGAAAGAAAAGAAAGAAAGAAAGAAAGAAAGAAAGAAAAGAAAGAAAGAAAGCGTAATTAAAACTGGGAAGAAAGTTAAAAGAAAACAAAACATAAACAAAAAAATATAAACGTAAATAAACGAATGAACAGAGAAAAGAAGAAAAGAATGAAAGAAAAAATGAATGCGTTTCAGTACGCAGGCAGAGAAAAGAAAAAGGGAGGAGACTAAAGTTTATTTGTCAATTGTGGAATGAAAAAGAATTAAGAAAAGAAAGTACGGAAAATTGCTTACGAAGGGATTTTCTCACACACACACACACACACACACACACATAGGCGACGCACTGTATATATATTCATTCGCCAAATGTTGAGAATGGAATAGTCCATTGAAGCATGAGCATAGGTTTCATTAACCTTGTCAGATACTTGTAAATCTATCTCCCTATGGAGAATTAAAACGAGAGGGGGTGACAAAATGCAGGCAAGAAGGTCGTCAGACGTGCAGACTTGGTGTGAGAAAGGGTGATGTTCTCAGACCGACACTGTTGCATGAGAACGTAACTCGTATTACTTTTATGCATTCGCCTCTCCGGTTGTTTTTTTGGTTTTTTTTTTCTTGCTCGCCTTCTGTTTTTCTACTTGGGGAAAGTTGTTAGGACGAATTCGACAAGAATTTTGAAAAAGTGGGATTCCAGAAATGGGAAGAAGGCAAAGTTGAACATGGAAAGGAAGAAAACAAAGAAGGATAAGTGAAAAGGAAAAGGAATAATGAAAATGGAAAAAAAAGGAAGTTGAAACGAAAAGAAAAATAAAGATAAACAGAAACTAGAAATTAAATGAAAAAAGAGAGGGCGCCATAAAAAAGAGGCTGTTTGTTAGTGTCAATTCTTCACAAAAAATGTCCCATATTAAAGTTAGAAGTACAAATATCCAATTTACAGCCATATAAATATGTCGTCAGATAAAGACAATTTTCCACGAAGACAGACACACATGCAGTCAATAAAGCTGTGGGTTTTGAAAGTTCATATCATGATTTAATTGGATACAATGGCAACAAAACGACAATATATATATATATATATATATATATATATATATATATATATATATATATATATATATATATATACACACATATATATGTTATATAAATGAATAGTGTCAGTAGTTAGGTCTCCATGAATATTTATTCATGGAGACCTACCGGACACTATTCGTAACATATTTGTTGACAACACTAATATAATAGCATAATCTACATGAAAAAAAAGGATAAAAATAATGGAAGCCTTATTAATAAAAACAAAAACCCAACATTTAATAATATTAACTTTGAACATGGACACAATATCTTGAGCGTGTTTTGAAAAAATGAAAACATTTTATTAAATATACATACAACAAACTATTTCATATATATATATATATATATATATATATATATATATATATATATAACAAGAACAAGAGTCTTTAGAGCAAAGGAAAACAGCAAGTTTGTAAAGGAAGCCATATTGTTTTGATAGTAGCCATTTGTAATTCTTTAAGTAACAAGAGACCGTCAGTTCTTTACTGCTATAAGACATGTATCTCACAAAAACAAAACACAACTAGGACAGAGGATAAATTTATCCATCTTTAATTGCCAGTTCACGGAGCAGAAAAGTCCAAACGCGACAGAAACAGAGAAAAACCATCATGAAAAAAATACTGAAGAGTTGAATGAAAGAAAATTGAAATAAATAGAAAAATATAAGGAAAAGAAGCCAGGAATAAGCAAAGCAAGAATGACCAAAACAAAAAAATCCTAAAGATTCATTAGAAGAAAACAAAAATGAAGACAAACACCCAGCGAGCGGAAACAACAGTTTTAAAAGAAAAGAAAAACAGAAAACTCGATAAAACTAAACTAGAAATTATTTAAAATGTAAGAAGGGAAGAAAACGGACAGGAATAAATAAGATTTGTTAAAAACTTGTTTGTATATCGAGGAAGTGGAGACATTTCTAAAACTGGCGGAATCAGATGAATATGTAGAATCAATAAATTGCTAAAAAAGCTTTGAATATATATTTTATTATGAAAATATAAATAAAAACATTAAATACTTATACAGTGTAACCCGGATATAAGAGACCCGGATATAAGAGAAACCCGGATATAAGAGAGATTTTCTCTGGTCCCAAATTAGAGCCTGTGTTAATGTATATAAAATAGATCAAACCCGGATGTAAGAGAAACCCGGATATAAGAGACTTCTTCTCCGGTCCCGACAACTCTCTTATATCCGGGTTACACTGTAGTAATATTAATGCAGTGGAACCTCAGTAAACGAAAGCCATACGTAACCCGAATTTTTCGTAAACCGAAACTATTTTTCCAATAGGAATCAATAGAGAGAAAAAATCACAGTAGAATTGGGAAAGAAAAGCACACACACACACATATGGTAAAATATAGTTTTAAGGTATTCTATATTTATGGGTTAACATGCTCAACATCAAATATATGTATGTAAATATAAAAGTAGACACCTTAGTTGCTCGGCTGCTGCAACTCATTATTAAGGTAAAATAAAATAAAATTAAATTAGCCACTGTTTTATTTCCGAATAACAGAAAATATTGTTCTCTTCGTTTAAGGGCATATCAGTTTGTTGTAACCTAGAAAAGGGTTACTAAATGAGGAATAACCAAAACGGAGGTTGGAAATGAAATGGTAATCTTTATAACATCAACAAAATACAATACTCGCCAGCGGCGTGAAGTAGGTAAACCACTGCTAGTGGTGAACTACATCAACAGCACTTACAATTGTGTCCAACGTATTTATGAGGATTGGAACATACCCATTAGTGTTCATAGATACAATTCCTTATGGATCGTTTAATAATGAAATCTTCTTGGGAGCCTTGAAGCAATAAAAATTTGAAATATGTTATTCTGCTTTCATAATTGAATATTGATTGAAGTAGATGATACTCACCTTGTATTGATAGACATGTTTTTGTGGACATAATTACTAGAGGTTGTGATATGTGTGTTTTATGTTTTATATTTTGGATTACAGTTTGATTTCTTTAAGGGATCGTAGGACATTATATGGATTAATATTATGAAAAAATTTTTTATATTGGTTGTTTGGTTTGTTGGTTGATTTTGTTTAGTAGCATATCAACCTCTATGGGTTATTTAATGCCGTAATCTACTGTAGTTACACGCGATTAAAAATTAAATAACTCATTTAAAGTTAAATTTAAATATCGAACAGAGTGAAAGTTTTTTTTTTATTAAAGGTTTAACTTTAATTTCTTTTTTCATTTCAACTGCAATTGATATCGTCTAATTAAACCGTAATTAATCGGAGCACGGTACGTAGTTCGTATTTTTTCTAGAACGCGTACTGTGATGAATTCGAAATATTACATAGTTCTGATTTCCTAATGTCTTTTAAGAGTGACTTTGTGTGAAGGGATCATAATGAATGGTGATTTTAAAATTGCGCACAAAATAAATATGAACTACGGAGATTGGTTGCGTATACGAAGAAAGATTATGCCGAATTAAGCTGTCGAATAGAGATAAAATAATTTGATTATTTCTAAATTTGTTAAATTTTTACGTACATCGGACGATGAAAGGAAAAGCCCGAAGGCCTAAAAGCTTTGCCTCCGTAGGAGCTAGATTAAAGTCCTCCAGAAGGGCGGCTTCTAGGCTAGTTTAAAATATACAAAAGTATTCCTGTGTATAATTAATATAGTTGGTAAATGAATAGTTAATAAAAAAATATTGTCTAGATAAAAAAAAAAGTAGTAGCAGAGAGATTGGCGTTTAAAGACAAAAGGCGGGAAACATATAAGAATATTATGATTCTAATTTTGGGAAGTGTGTCGGGCCAAGAACTTGTTAGTGATGCCTCGTATATCCTGCATTTACTCGAAGTAGTGCCCTTCCGCGTATAAACGTCTCTCGAACAATCAAACCCCCCACCCCCGTCAAGAAGTAATTATTCAACAAGCGCCCTCCTCGTGCAAGGAAAATCTGTGTTTTTAATTTCAAATAAGCACTTCCTTCCAAATGTGTATAAGATTAAAAAAAACAGGGACAGATTAAAAACACACAATTTCATTTTAGTCTGACTATTTAAAGAATAAGATTTTATTTTCAGGCACCTCTTTTGCAAATTTTATTTTAAATTCTAAATAAAACAATGAAAATCCCTCCACAAAATAAAATTAAAATTAACACCCGCTTCGTTCGTATTTGTCAAAACTCAGCTCTCTTCATCGGTTTTGTAATACAATCTTTTTTATAATAGACAAATATTATATAACTATAAATATATATTCTTGGCCATTTTTTATATAAAAATGTATTCCTGGTATTTTTACTATAAAAATCTATATTCATAGTATTTTGTTTTTGTTTCTGAGGGTCACTATTTGACCATAGCTGGAACCCTAATAGGTGCTACTACTTGTTAGGGTTTAGTGAACCTGGGAACAATAGCAATTAAAAGGTTATTCCACTTTCTTTAAAAACTTTAATCTCCCAAACAGAGGCCTTGCTACCGGATGTAGTGGCTCTTGGGTGAACATCATTGTAAAATTTAAAAAAAAAGAACCCTGACTGCAAGTGCCAAAAATATGCATCTAACCTCACTACGAAGTAAACGCAGATATCTATACCCTAATCTTTGAGAAGCAGAAGAGAGGAAACACGTGAAGACTGAACTGAATTAGGTTTGGTTTGATTTGGTTGTTTTTGCTTAGAGGCATATCAACACCTAAATATTTTAATGCAATTTTATACCTTCAAATATAGACATTTTGTCCATAATTTAATACCTTCCGAGTAAACGTATGTTTTATAGATATATAGTTTGTAGATTATCTATTGTAAGTGTTATATGTTTTAGTATAAACCTACTCCTTTAAAGGTAGGACATTATGTTGGCGGTATCCGTATTTTCAAATTGCTTTCTCGTGTAGTTTCTCTTATAGTCTTATGTCTTACAGGGTCTAAGTGAGTACATCCAGTTAAAATGTGTTCCATCGTGATGAACTGCATTAAAGCTAGCGTGATAACAATTATAGATGGTTATTTAGCAATTGCAGCCTAGTCTAGAACAAGGCTACACTAGAGTGCGCTCAGTGATAATCAACGTCATGATACTAACGTAGTAATCTCTGAGATACACTTGCTAATTCTTGTGCTAGAGTAACGTTCGTGGTTAAGAACATGTGGTCAGGTTTCTATTTTTATTCGACATTTCTAGATTATATTTGTGGTGACGTTTAGATGAAAAAAAAAAGCTGTTCTCTCGGAAGCAGTGACGTCATCCGCTTTACTGAGACACAAACCAAAACAACTGAAAGTTTATCTTTTCCCACCCAGTCTGGTGTATCCAACCATATTTATTTCCAACTTATAATTTACTTAAGCTTAAAAATAAATATGAAAAGTTAATATCTTAATGAGCATGGAGAATTTGTATTCCGGGACACATATGAGTTTTATATGATATAACGCGCGGATTATGCACACACATATCACCGTACAACATTAGCAACTATCCA